ACCTTCTGTAAATATTTTTAACCATTTAAAACGATTTGTGATTATAGTCCTTTAGTGAAAGGCAAATAATTTATACTCTCAAAAGTATGAATAAAAAGCAGAAAACTTCTATTTGCTATAGTAAAACACACTCAGTGTGTTTTAATACTAAACATATTAAAAATAAATATTAATGAAAAGAAGACTAACTAGCCCAATATGTCAAAGAAGGATCATTCTTTTAAAAAACATCTTTGACAAGCTCTCAGAAGGGTTTGTTAACCAAGGAATTATGTGTATATAGGTTACTGGCTTCTACATCTTCAGCTATTCTAGAATGAAACTAGTTACATAAAATCCTTAAATGTGATAAGTACTAGTGTCAGCATCTAGCAAGGGCAAAAAAATACAAATGGTCAGTAATTCTAGTTTATGGGTTTTCCAAGGGTCTTTGTATCCTCCTAAGTCAAGAATTAACTCCCAAATTTCCCAGCATCAGTTTCTTTTACCAAATAAAGCATAAGATGACAGGAATACTGGGATGCTATAAAATCTTTTATAAAGTTTAACAGAGGTGTTAACAGAGATATAAATCAAAGCATTTACCCTGACAAAGAGCAATGTTTTCCCGGAGTCACACAGACCAACAAGAAGAACAGCTCTCTGACTGCTCCTTCTGCTCCGGATGAACTTCCAAAACACTGTGGAACAGAGACCAAAAACCAAAATTATGCCTTGATAATCAGTAGTATGTGTGCATGATTGTTACCACTATCATAACCATTACTGTGGTTGTTGTTAGGAACCCACTGAGTGCCAGTCACTAACAACTGTCACTTTCCTTTGCACTCCTTACTGTGGACTCAGGTGCTATTTTATCTTATTACCTTCGTATCCCCTGTACCCAACTCGCAATCACAGGAAGCTCAAAGTTGGTGAGCTCAGCAGGAAGAGTAGCAGAAGGAGGGAACCGCGCGCTCAGGCGTAACAGGGGAGGATAAAGAAGAGTAACCCGTGCCCCCAAGGACCAGGACATCACTGCGGGAGTCCCCGGGGATGCCCCTTTAACATATCAGTGCTGCCACTGCTTCAGGCAAGAGGGTGGGGTGGTAGAAAGAATGGGTCTCGCTCTCTAGACGCCCCCAAGGTACCATCTCGACCCCGTGTCCCCGGCCTGCAGAAGCGCAGCCGAAACACGGACCCCTGCCCTCCCCGCACCCGCCATAACCACCGGCCGCCTCTTTACCCAGCGTCAACAGCACCGCAAAAACCGCCACCACTACTGACAATAGCGTCGGATCTGTCTGCTGCAGTTCATGCCTCAAGGAGTCTAGGTAGGGCTGGAAGGTGCCCCCAGCACCGCTGCCATCCCCAACGCGGCGAGAGTCCACGGAAGCCATGGATGAGGCGCGTGGTCTTTGGTACCGCAAAAGTGACGTGGCCCTGGGCTCTGCGCAGGCGCGAGGAGCGGAGCCTCACGGGAGTGGTAGTTCTTAAGCTGTTTTCTCTCTTTCAGGCCGCGGGGGCCCCAAGTGCCTGATGGGAGTTGTAGTTCTCTGGTACGCCGAGCTCCTATAGACAAGGGACACACTTATCCTTTAAGATATGGGTCAGTCATCTCCGCCTTCTTTATGGCTATTGAAAGAATGATGAAATCAATAAAATGAATGGCTCCCAAAATTTCCGCCGAGGATTTCCTGTCAGTCACTAAGTGAGGTGAGATTTGTGAGGAGCTCAAACATCCTACAAACATTTAATCTGAATTTAACGTGGCAAGGGATGTGATAGATGGACGTGCAGTGCGCTATGGGAATATACAAAGGACGCGGAGTCCACCATGAGTTCAGAGAAAAGCTGCTGTGAACTGGAACTGTTAGCCTTTGCAGACAGCTAAAAGTAAAAAGGCACGGTGTGGAAGAAAATGAGTACAAGCCGATGACATGCCAGGAAACACAAGTAATTCAGTGTCCCTACACTGTAAATCTAGGCCGGAAAACTCCAATGTCTGCATTAAAGGAAGCAACCAGGAAAGCCAACGCTCAGGAGAGCTGGTGACTGTTGAAAGCTGCAGTAATCATTCCCGCCGCAAGAGGGCAGACCCTACTGAGCCAGGTAGGTGTTGTGGGACCTAGGTGGCCAGTTCTTCCAGTTTTTGAAGAGAAGCCATAAAGGTGGGTTTTTATGGGAAATTTTCCAGTTTTAAAATTTTGACAGGTAACTGAAAGCATTCAAAACTTGTGGCCCCAAGAAAACATCTTTGATGGCCTCAAGTGGCCAGCCTAAAGGGTCTCAGTTTGCAGTTTTGATCATTAAACAGGTGTCATTGTTTGAAAATGTACGTGTGATTTAATTTATAGGTATGACCAAGTAACAATATGGTGATGTCAATGTCATTGAAAGATGGAAAGAAGTTTATTACTCAGAGTTTCACATGGCCACTGTGAAAGTTGTAAGAATCAAAATGGAGTCACTTGTGTTTAAAAAACCCTGAGAAATGGAGCTGGGGAAGGCCATGAAGGGAGGGTTCTCATGCACAAATGCCTGGTAACAAAAACTACCAACCTTGCCCAACGTCCACCACAACTTTACACGCAAAAATTCTTCTGTGAGGACATCTGCCCAGCAACTGCCTGTCCAACCTTGCACTGACAACACTCTTGTTATTGATCCTTGTAGCCAAGGATAATTATCTCAAAACAGTTATGTAATCCTCTTCATTTTTCCTTTAAAAACCTTTGTCTTCCTTTACCTCCCTAATACGCACATAGTTTACTAAGGTCCTTGTATTCCCATTGCAATGCCTCTTCCCAAATAAACATTGTCTTTTTTTAGAGAGTCTCACTCTCTGTTTGTTACCTGGGTTGACACCACGTGGGGCCACATAAAACCTCAACACAACACAGGGACCAGGAAAAGAGAGAGGAACTGGGATTCTGCCTTTTTTACTAATGTGTCAGGGGGAAGCTAGGTAGAGACATTTTTGATTAAGCAGGAAATAAAACACAGATGTTAGGGTTTATGTTTGGAGGGTTCAAAATATGACTTAGGTACACCCTGAAAAGCCAGGCCACAGGGAAAATGTCAACAACTTTGGCTGTTAGTTTGACCTTGTGATCAGTGGATGCCAAATCATCAATTACAAAATCTATTAGAACTGTCATTTAAACAGGACTGGCAGTATAAGAAGCTGGAAAGGTTGGCAGGAACCAGACCAGAAGGGATTTTGTGTGCTGTGCTGAGGAACTTAGAGTTTATCCAGAATGCAATAAGAAGTTTCGGTTGTGGGTGACATAGATATTTGACAGATCTATGGAGAACCATAACTTGAGAAAGAGAAGACTACAGGCAGTGAGACCAGTTAGGGTCTCTTGCAGTATTTAGGAAAAAGATGCTTAGGTTCTAACACAGGGACAAAAGGAGCTATAGAAAAGAGGGCACAAATTTGAGCGAGGTCTAGAAGTTGAAATTTATACGTTGTGATTAGTTCATTACGGTGAGTTAAGAAGGAGTGTTATCAAGGTTGCATCCTAGGCTGTTAGTGTGGGTGATTAGGAAGATGAGAGTGCCGTTAAGTGGATTAGGGACCTCGATGGAAGGGGGTTTGGTGCTGTGGACCCAATGGAAGCGGGTAGCCAGAATGAAAATTGGGTCTCCTTTTTATATGTTGAGTTTCGGGTGCTTCTGAAAAATCTAAAAGCTTATTTCAAGTAGGTAACAGAGTAAACAATGTGAAGTTCCACAAATATGTGGTAGATTTTCATTTTGGAGTCAAGAGTAAACAAGTGGTCATTAAAATCATGGAGAGCATGAAGAATGAAAATGAGAGGGGAACCCACAAAGAAACCTAAGAAGGAAGAGCCAGTGACATAGCGGTAAAACAAACGTGTCCTTGAAGTGTTCAGTAGCATCTTTTGTAGCAGAATGCCTCCTATGATGAGGCTTTGAATGAGCAAGAGCTCAGGGGGATAAGTAGTGCAGGGGTAGAGGGCAGAGTGTGGAAATGGAAGCAAGACTAAGTGGGTGGGAAAGATAGTGGGGAAAGAGAATAATTTCTAATGTTATTGAGTACTTTCCGGTACGAGGCATTGTTGTAAATACTTTTAACGTATTAATTTGTTTAATCCTTACAATGACCCATTATTCCAGCTTTGCAGAGGGAAAGTAAGACAGAAGTTGAGTAATACATGTAAGGGACAAAACTGGAATTTGATCCCAGGCAGTTGGGCTTCTGTATACTTAACAATATGCTCAGTAGGATTCATTTTCAAGGCATTTTATTGATAAAGGTAGGCAATAGGAACTCCAGATCAAGGAAGAATGTTTAGGATGTGAAATTTAAGTAAGGACACCAACTAATTTATTTTAAATTACCATTGTCAATTAAAATTATCAGAACTGGCAGCAATCTTGGCACATTCTTTTTCTTTTCCTTCTTATGGTCCTAACCCCTGCTCTGTATCCACCACCCAACACAAACATACACACAAACACACACACACACACACCCTTACCCCTTTCTAATCACCGTTGATTCCTCTTTAGAAAAATAACTGTTTGGATTCTACCATTGACCTCCCTGTTGGGAACTAAAGGGAAGAAGGAAGGGCCGGACATGGAGGACTCTGACCAGAACTGTCTTAACTGTCTGCGGATATTCGGTAAGAGTTTTGTGGATGAAAGAGGGCTGCCATGGTGGAGAAGCTGGGGAAGGAAGACAGAAGGGTTTAAGAAGGCACAGACTTTTTTTCTTCAGTATGTTTCCCGGGCATTCTGAAGGCAGGAGAAATGTATACAGCTTCCACACTTAAGTGAGAAGGTGGCACTACCATTCTCAGGAATGAGAGCAGGAGGAGATGAGACTGGCTGCTTCCCTGTGCTCACACATCTCCACCAGGAGCTCTGTGGGGATGAATGCAGAGGAACAACATGTGGATACTGACTGCTACTTGCTGAAAAGCATTTTGCTCTTGACTCCAATAGCAGATGGAGAGTTATAATGGAACTAACGTATTCAGGCAATTTTCCCTTCTCTTCCCATAAACTAAAATGACCCATTCATAGACGCATTCTTCTGTCTGCTTCCCATAGCTCCAGCGCACAATGGAACACATCTCAGACTTGGGGGGTACTAATCACGAGATTCCTCTGCTCTGCCTTATCTCTTCATCTCTGTTTCTTTAATAAATTTTTAAACAATTAAAGTGACATGTGCTTATTGTATTAAAAACTCAAGCAATAATGAAAGCCTCAAAGAGGAAAGCCACAAATCACCTCCAATTTTCTACCCTATAATATCTGCCATTTGTCTGTACATATATACTGATGCGAAGGCAATATGAATAAAAGAAGTAAATAAAATAAACAAATTATTTAAAAAGAGATTATAGTATGTGCTACTATATTCCCTATCCCTAAAACAATGCCTGGCTCATGGGAGGCATTAGTAAATTGTTGAATGCGTGATCCCAGGCCTGCTGTGTTCCCTGCAGTGCCCCGGGCTCCTGACTGTGTCTGACATCCTCCTTTCTCACATCCAGCCTTAATAGGTATGAGGACGTGTCGCCCTAGCCTAAGAAATTTTATTTCTAATTTTAGCTTCTCAGAGAATGAGGTGTGCTGGTAAGAATGGCTAAATTTGAATAGAGGAGCTATTTAGGATTTTCTCTAACATCATTCAACATTCTTAGTCCAATATTCACAAGTGGGACCAGTCCCCCTCCTCCGTCAATCACACTTTGTCCATAGACATCTGGCAAGACATCTTAGGCAGCTCCCTCCTGTCTTTTGAAGAATAGAAGGGATAGTACTCTGGGAGGCCAAGGCGGAAGAATAGCTTGAGCTCAGGAGTTTGACACTAGCCTGAGCAAGAGCGAGACCCAATCTCTACTAAAAATAGAAAAAATTAGCCGGACGTGGTGGCGCGCACCTATAGTCCCAGCTGCTTGGGAGGCTGAGGCAGTAGAATCGCTTGAGCCCAGGAGTTTGAGGTTGCTGTGAGCTAGGCTGACGCCATGACACTCTAGCCTGGGTGACAGAGTGAGACTCTGTCTCCAAAACAAAAGAAAAAAAAAGAATAGAAGAGGAAGAAAGCAAGTCAGTTGCTAACGCAAGAGGTCCTAAAGTGCTCACCTTCAGAGCTGATTCACTCACCTTGCTTGCACCAAATCTAAGCTTTTCTGTTCCCTCTGATACTCTGGACACTCCTACAGCATGCACTAAACAATGTAACCATCGCTTTTCAGGTGTCGGCACAGGCAGGACCTGGCTTAATTCCAAAACTGCTGGATCTTAGCTGGCACTTAGTTTGCACTTCTCTAAACGACTTGAGCTGGGAAGGAAATACCTGGAGGTAACAGATAGGGTGGTCCCTATCTGTTGATGGAGCAGCAGAGGGTGAACAAATGATGCTTCATTTTTCCAAGACAGAGGACAGTGATTTAAGGCCAGGGCAGATTGTGGCCCTGAGCCTTAGTCACAGGCTGTCTGATACTATAGATGTACTGTGCCACACATCTGGGCTCTTCCCTGGGGAGAGAAGGAAGATAGCATCAGCCACAGCTGTCCCAGCTTTAC